CTCCTCTGCAGGTGGGACAAAGAACAACATATTACCACCATTAGCAGCATGAAAATAAAGAGAAAGCTCTTTCTTTCTTCCATTTGCTTTTTGACAGAAGAGAAACGAGGGACATTAAAAGTGCAGGAAGCCAAATTCCAGCTTTCCAATCTTACTTATGATGGATACAAAAGTTAAGGGCCCAATTTCACAATAAGAACTATCATAGAAAAGCAGTGAATTAATATGGTTGAAATATAAGAGAATATGTTTAGAAGCTACTCACTAATGAATCATCGAGATTTCCTCTCTACCCCAGGTAAATTAATCAATTTCAATGGTGGAGCTAGGAAATATCAGAAGTTTTAGCTACAATACTCACTCAGTTTATGTATTAGATACAATATGCTTTGTTGGCATTGAAGAAACAACCTGTCCAAAAAGAATGAATAAACATACCTAGAAAAATGGAGTTTAAGTAAAAGGATACAAGTATTGCAGGAATCTCCAGACCATACCTTTACATCAGAAAATCCAACAAACCAAAATGTGTTTGCACTGGTGCCTTAGCATGGAGAGGATCTGCAAGTTCTGGTGAAGGCACACCATAGAAGGCTACCACAGCATCAACCCCTGGGACCAACACAGAACTTGCAATAGCAAGAACACCCCCATGCAGTAACCAGTTACACAAACCTATTGAACATTGAAAGGCTATTGCAACAGATAACTGCCCTTTATCACACCTTCTTTAAAGTGAAACAGAGTTCATTTTAGAAGTAAAAGGATAGAAAATGGATCTAATAAAATAGGAGATTAGCAAGAAAAGAAGATAGGAAGCATACCAACATGTAATGAAAAATCACCCTAAAAAATTCTTTCATTCTATCAAATGAAGAAAACTTTCTTGAACAAATGCTCTTCAAAATTATGACTTCATCCAGGAAACCTTTTAGTCACTAATCCTTCTATTGTAATTATTTCAAAATGCTTAGACTCTCAAATGATGTAAATTATCCTAGTACAAAGAACCACGTGTTCATCAAAATAGTCAAAAAGCAAAATCATCCTTTCTATGTTCATCAAAATCTAACAACTTTATAGTATTTATAAATAAAAAAATATCATCTCTTCCCACCCAACTGAGGAAACAGGAAGGAAATGAAAAAATGGGGAAAACAAGGATAAAGCGATTAAATACATACGCGTAGAGGCACAGACAAGCAAATGAGATTTTTAGTGTCACCGTGTCGTCTCTCTGACTCTAGATTTTCTTGAAAGCTGAAGAGGAGGCACATTCAGAAGCCATTGCACTAACCCGATGAAGATGAATCGAGAGATTCCGAGAGATGGAAAAGGCCAAGTATGTGAGTAATGATGGCTCTATAGCTCCAAGCCATCACCCAATGAAGTAAATTATTCTTTTTACTTCCAACTCATCATCCAGAGTATTTCCATCCTGCATCATTGCAGATCATTTACACTCCATCATGCATAGATCATTACAAATCAAAAGTTCCAAACTGCAGCATACTTACAGCAATAGTATTGATTCCTTCATTCCCGACTTTCTGTTATATATTTATACAATAAATATAATATGTGAAAGAAATAACAAATTAAGATGAAGTGTCCAACTGGT